GCCCTTGGTCGCATGGCTAGTGAGCAACAGAGCCAGACCCCAGACTATTCAACCCCTGCCCGAAGTACCTCTGGCCTGGCACAGCTCCAGGCACTTATCCACAACGGGATGGAGAGAGTGAGGGGTTCGAGCCTGAGTCACAGGCTTTGAAGCTGGCACTGGATCCACCAAGCCTCAGAGGTTCCAGGGGTGGGTTGGCCCCTGACTCATCCCCATACCCTGAGTCCACCCCAGACAGTGCCTCCAGCTCCTGACCGCCCTCCTGTCTGCCAGAACCCAGGTATGCCCCTCCGGGTCATTCATGGCTCAGGATTTGCAGTAGCTGGGCTGGAAGGTCAAGGCCTTCAGACAAGGAGGTATCCTGGCTACCGCTGCCCAGGAATGTTGGCCAGGAATCACAGTGAGAACCCCGGTGTCACCTGCCCGCTGGGCACTGAGTGATCCTGATGACCAGACCATTCTTTTTAGCTGACATTTAATTCTATAGTGAAGTGCTATACTTCTGCATGGCTCAGCCTCCCAGTGGCTCACCCCTTCCCAGAGGGGAAAGGCGGCCTCCTGGTGGGGCCCTGGGTGCATCTTAGAAAACATGGGTTCTAGGCAACAGAGTGGGTGTGACTCTGAAAAAATACCAGCTGCGTGTCTTGGCTGGTGGTGGTGGTGGGATGGAGGAGAGGGCTGGGGTTCAGCTTCTCCAAGCACAGGGGCCCAAGCCTCAGAGAGAAAACCATGCAGACCTCCCGGGTTTCTAGGATCCAGACCTGGCGGGGAGATCTCTGGTGAGCTCCTCCTCCTCCCTAGATCTCAGTTTCATCAGCTGGGTCAAGGGCCCGTCTATCTCTCTCTGACTTTTTTCTTAAAGATCATTTCAAGTCTTTATCATGAGAGCATTTTAAAGATGGTATCAAACAGGAAAGGGGGCCTAGACCTCCCTCATTAGAAAGGGTATCTATGCAAAGTCACAGGCTTTGTCTGATAAGACTAAACTGTCCTGTCATACTCCATTTCACCCCCGTGTTTGGCATAGACCATGTGCCCAGACCTGTGCTAGGCCCTGGGGTGGGGATTCCAGAGAAGACCATGTCTCAATGAGCTCATCATCTCAGTGGGGCAACATATCTCTCCCTAGGAAATTCCTAAATGATGTTTCCAGGACAAGTGCAACCTGCTCTTCAAAGCTCTTCAAGTTTTACCCTTCTAGTCTCTCCAACTTCATCTCTCGTGTAGCAGGACAGATGCATCGGAGGCTGGTTGAATAGATGTATGAACGGAAGGATGGTTGAAAGGTTAGGTAATGGGTGGATGAACGGATAGACAGAAGGAAGAACGAATGGAAGGAAAGGTGGGTGGATGGGTGGATGGACAGGCAGTGGACAGATGGATACTGGATAGTTAATGAGTAGCTTAATAGATGACTGGATGGGGACATGAGATTGATGGGTGGATGGATGGATGATAATGAATGGTTAATGAATGGATCGATCGATTGAATGAATGGGCCATGAGAATATGGATGGACGGATGGATGGATGGTGGATAATGGATGGTTGATGAAGGGATGGATTGAATGAAAGAGGACATAGGAAGATGGATGGATGGATTAGTGGATGGGTAGATGGTAGATAGATGGGAGGATCATTGGATGGATGTGACACAGGTTGTTGGTTCCACAGCAGATGAGTATAAGGGAACAGCTCTGCCTCATGCTCATTGTGTGACCCTGCCTAAGTCACTTCCTCTGGGACCTCCTCTTCAATGTGCATCATGAACCCAGCTTGCCTCTCAGGTCTGTGTTTGGCATCCAGTGAAATAAAAATGAAATGTCCATGCCTACATAAGGGCTGCGGCCAGACCTCAGCCACTGGCCTCTTAGATGTGTGCTATGTGCTGTGTTTTTACCATGGGGCTGAGGCTCCCCTTAGGCGCAGGTAAGTGGCCTGCCTCTGCTCCTGGGCCTCCCATTTTCTGAGCCTGCTTAGGGCTCTCTGCCTGTGCAAGCAGGGAGGTGTCCCTGGAGAAAGGTTTCTGTGGGAAGGCTTCCCGAGGACAGGGGAGTCAGGAGGGCACACTGGGGACACACAGGGCTCAGGGATGGGACTTTGTAGCTGCACAGACCTACCTGCTTTCCATCCTTGGTTCTGCCACTTTTTATCTATGGGACGCGGGGCAAGTCATCCTCTCTAAGCCTCAGTTTCCACACTTATAAAATAGAGACTGATTACAGTATCTACCCCACTGGTGTGCTGTGACAGTTAATGAAGCTAACGTATGCAAATCACCTAGCACAGGGCTTGGAATAGATGAAGTGCTTAGTAAGTGCTGGCTTACCCTAGTGCCCTAAAAGGCTAAGTGGGAAACCAAGCCCTTAGCCCTTTGGAGGTATTGCAAAAACTTGGAGTTCAGAAATTTCCATCCAAGATGCTGAGTAGTCCTGAGTTGGTTTTCTTATTTCAACGCTTCCAGAAGGATTCATATGGTCCCTGGACAAGGGTGCCCTGACTTAACAGTGTCTGCTTTCGGCTGAAATTCCAGCAGTTCCGTGGGCCTTGCTGGCCCTGTTCTGATTACCCTTAGATGAATAACAAACAGAGCACATGAATTATTCTTTTAAAAGTACAGTTTATATGGGAGATATAAATCTTTCCAAATGGGGTGAGATGGAGAGAGGAGGAGAACTGACAAGGGTGTCCTCCAGGGAAGTCGTGGAGACCAGGGGAGCTAGTCCTGTGGGCTGAGGCTGTCCTTGTGGAGACCCAGCGTAGGGACAGTGGCGTGGGTGGTGGCAGGCCCTGCTGGTTCAGGGTGAGCTATGGCTGATGGCAGGAGGCCCAGACCACCCACCAGAAGGAGGCCCTGAGGTTGAGTGGCCCCAGGCCCACACGGGGATAGCCTGACCCACAGCCTTTGGGACAAGTGGTGATGGGTATGTCTGAACCTCTTGAGTCCCCAAGCCCCAGCCCAGGCTGACTCCAGGGACAAACCCTCCCCAGCCCCCAGCCCCTTCAGGCTCTGCCATCTCCTGGGGTCAGCTCTTCTCCCCAGTTGCTTGCTCTACCAGGCCACCCTGATGGCATGTGCCTGCAACCAAGACACTGTGTCCCTTCCATCAGGGCTGCAAACAGAACTTCTTGAAACCTACTGGACCAGGTGGCGATGAGGGAATGGCTGGTTTTCCAGAGGTAAAAGAGTGGAAGGCCCCAGACTGGGAGCGAGAGTCCTGTATCAGAGTTTGCAGGGCCTCCATTTGGGGAGTTCTAAATGCAGATCAACTTGATATTGAATGCCCTAGGCAGTCAAGCTGAGAGCATCTCTCGCCACTGTCAATGGGAAGGCAGGACACCTGAGGCCAGAGAGGGGTTAGGACTGGCCAAGGCCACACACCATGAGAGCAGACTGGAAGAAAGCCTCCTAATCCAGGGTCTCGAAGGCAATAACAGGTACCTGCTTCAACCCAGCCCCGTCCTGGTGGACAGCATCACCAGGATACATAGTCCTCACGCCCAAGCCTCGTGCATCCAGCACAGGGTCCTCAGCTGCTGGACAGCTGCTTGAAGGTGCCGTATTTCCTCTTAGTGCTGGGGTTGTAGAGGGAGACAGCCCAGCCTCATCCCAGGGCCCTGGCCTTCCTGCTGGTGGGAGCCCTCCTGACAGCCATTCCCAAGGGACTCAGGATCCCGGGCTCAGCTCAGACCCCTGGGAGAGCTTCATGGGTGTACAGGAAAGGGTGGGGCTGGATTAGAAGTCAAGCCCCATCACTGACTTGAGCAAGCTGTTCTTTTTCTTGGATCTCGGTTATCTCATCAACCAAGTGGGAGTGGGGACCAAGGGGGTTTCTAGAGGGTAGTTTCTAGCTCTGTGTCTTACCCAAAAGTACACTCGACTGCTGTCTTCCACACTGGATATTAAACTGGTGCCAAGCCTAGAGGGAACAAATCATTTTGTGTGCACAACAATTCCCTCCAATTCTGAGAAGGTGGGTCCTCTCCACCCTCACCATCATTAGTCTTTACAAACCGGGTCAGACCAGGCTGGAGCCCCGGGGCCAGGGGGCCATGCAGCCAGGCCCCCTGGAAGGTCCAGGGACCGTGTAGTCAGGACAGTTATGGGGGGCAATGGGGAGCAGCCAGACGAGCCACGAGGGACAGAGGTGACTGTCAAGGCCCAGGCTAAGTGACCCAGGGGCTGGGGCTGGTATTTTTAACTCAGCTCAGTTTTCCCTACCTGGAAGCCAACTCCTGTCAATGGGGCAGAGCTGTTCCCGGAACAGTTTCAGCCCCTGAGACCTGAGCTCGCTCAGGTTCCCAGGTCTGGCCTCTGTATGTCACAGAAGCCCTGCCTGTCCAGCTGGAGCCCAGGCCAGGGAAGGAGGGAAACCGGAGCCAGGCCCCGCTCACAGCTCCCTGCGCTGACCCACGAGGCTCGGGCAGCAGCCTTACTGTGTCGTCACCCTTCACACCAGGGAGGTACCCTGTCTCCGAGTCCATTTAATGCTTCTATTATGTTTCCCAGACTCAGTGCCTCTGGTTCCCTATTGTCCTGAGCAAGCATTTTGCATTTGTGTAAAGATTAGACACGTTAGAACCTCCCCTCTTCTCCCTACGGTCTTTCTCCTTTACTTTCTCAAATCCAAGTTATTTCTTTCTTGCTACGTACTGCTTCCTTGTTCTCCCTCCCTCCCTGTCTTCATCTGCCCCCCTGTTTGTTTTCCTCCCCACTCTGACCCCCTCCTGCTTCTCCCTCTTTCTTCTCTTCACGGTCCAGTGGTTTGAATTCTCTATCCAGCCCCCACCGCCCCCCTGACCCTCCTTAGTTCCGTATTTATATTTTCACAGCGGCTGATAGACATGACTGGGTGTATTGCTCACCTCATTCCAGAAATACTCTTCACAATTCTTAGAGAGGCACGATGTGGGAAGGCAGTGAGCACTGCACTGGGAGTCACTTGTGGTTTGCTTGAGAGACTGAGTTTGGGGGTTCTAATGTCCACTCTGCCACCCACCACCTGGATGGCCTTGCTTCTGTCTCTGGGGCAGTCATAAGCTGACTCCTAGATGATAACAGCTGCCTCCTGGGGGTTATGGTAAGAAGTTGTCGAAAGTACTCTGCGCGCATAGTAGGTGCTCAGGAAACATTTGTTCTTGCTTCCACAGCGGCCAGCTCAGCCTCAGGGACGGAGACAACACTGGTGAGTATTGTCCTCCATCAGTTCTGCCCAGCTTTTTCAGAATCTCACACACACACACACACTTGCGCTGGACACACCGTAGGAAGAAGCAAAACTGCCTGCTCCTTGTGGTTGTCTATTTTCCCCTTCGTAAATGTCCAATGGGAAAGGAGCTGCTGGATACAGGAACTAAAAACACGGCAGCCCGGGCTCCCCAGTTCAAGGTCAGCCATGTGTGACCCCCTCCCCTCCTCCACCTCAGACAGCACTCACACGGCCCTACTATGTGTGGGGCGGGCTCCAGGCCCTCGAGGCTGCCGGGGAGATAAGCCCAATGCCATGAGTCAGGCCGGCCCAAGAGGCACCGGCTGTGGGAATTCCGAGAAACGAGAGGGCCTTTCCTGTCGTCCCTGGAGACTGGGTCCCTGGGAAGATGCCGGCGAGAAGTGGACTCTGAGCCAGGCCTGGGCAGGAACAGAGCGCACCTGCCGATTCCCCGAGCTCTCAGAGCAGCACATCCCTGCTCTCCTCTCCAGAGGGAGGGGGCAGAGTGCCAGCCCCCAGGGAGGCCCCCTCCCCCACCACCACCTTGCCTTTCTTGCAGGCAGGAACCACCGGGGTAAGCCCGGGCATTCTGTCCTGTCCAGGAAGGAGACCACTCAAGGGGCCCTTTGGGGGTGTGCCGGCCAGGGTATGTTAAGCATCCCCGTTTGGGCTCTGTTTTGCAAACAAGGAAACTGAGGCCTTCGGCTGTGGCTGCGTAGCTAAACAGCTTCTAGAAGAGGCCTGAACTGCTACTCCAGGCCCTGGGGTGGGGTGGGGTGGGGGTGGCCACCGGGCACTTCCTGGATGAAGTGGGGATGAGGCAGCTCCAGGCTGGTCAGAGGTCAGGCTAAGCTGTGTCCTTCACTGAAGGAAGCAGGCCCAGAGGGGGTTCTGACTCGCCCAAGGTCACACAGCCTTGACAGGGCCTTTCACCTCCCACCCAACAGAAGGGCACCCTCAGCCTGGTTGGCAGTGGGCAGGCAGGATGGATGACATGACCGGGTCTCCCCTGAGGAGGGGGAGGGTTTTGCTCATGGGACCTCCTCCTCCAAACGCTCAGTTCTGGGCAAGATGTGTGGAGCATGGAGCAGTCACAGAGAGAGAGGGGAGGGGGCTTGGGCACGCTGGGGTGACTTGAGGAGCCCCAGGAGGACTGGGAGGAGCCCCTGGGGACTGCAGGGAGCTTCAGGACTCCCAGAGGTGCTCCAGGCATGAAGGGAGGAGCGGGCCTTCCACCTCCCCCCTTAACCGTGGAGGCTGGGGCGGGCCGGGCGCCCGGGGAAGAGGCGGTGT